CTGAAAAACTCGTGAAGGAGGTTTTAGGCCCCAAAATACATTTCTGGAGATGCTAATGCTAATGCACGTGTGGGATTGGACTTTAAAAAAGAAAAACTGGATCTGGAGTCTGGATCTGCGTTTTCTCCGGCCGGTCCCGGTCTGATCCAGACACCGGACCGGTACCGGCCTGGTCCCGCCTGACGCGCTTCTCTCCCTGCAGACGCGCCCTGGTGCGGCCACTGCAAACAGCTGGCCCCCATCTGGGACAAGCTGGGCGAGAAGTACAAGGACAGCGCCGACACCATCGTGGCCAAGATGGACTCCACCGCCAACGAGATCGAGTCGGTGAAGGTCCACAGCTTCCCCACCCTCAAGTTCTTCCCCGCCAGCGACGACCGCAAGGTGAGCCTCCCCCCCGCCCACCCGATCGGGTCCTGCTTAGGGATGTCCCCATCCAGCTTTTTTCCCTTCTGATCCCGGCCTATCAGAGCATGTATCAAAGTTTAAAGTTATTGATCTACTTACTTAGTTGTCAGACTCATGTTGAACAGGGATTTACTCTGATAACAACTTAATGGTTAGGACACAGACCTGTGGGTTACAGATGCTAATGCTAATGCTCTGATAACAACTTAATGGTTAGGACACAGAACTGTGGGTTACAGATGCTAATGCTAATGCTCTGATAACAACTTAATGGTTAGGACACAGACCTGTGGGTTACAGATGCTAATGCTAATGCTCGTGTGTGATCGGATTTAATAAAAATAAAAAATAAAATGAATTTTACATCCTTTGGCTTTTTGATTCCATTCCCTCCTTGGACTCCTCGGCCTCTGTAAGAGTTGTGTTTTCCCCTGGAAAAGATGTGTCCCTGAAGGCAGCGCAGGTTGCTCTACAGTTTCAGTGGAGGCTCTTCCTGTTCCACTTCCCAAATCAAAGATCTGGGTCCTGGATGTTTAGAGCTAAAGTCCACGTCTTCCTCCCCGCAGGTGATCGACTACAACGGGGAGAGAACGCTGGAGGGCTTCACCAAGTTCCTGGAAAGCGGCGGCAAAGAGGGCGGAGCCCCGGCCGGAGATGACGAGGAGGAGGATGACGAAGAGCTGGATGTAAGTTGGTCTTAACTCTCTAGTTGCTGCCTCTGAACATGAGCAGGTGTCAAACACTCTCTGTTTGTATGGATGGGCAGAGGAAGCCCGTTGAATGGCTTAGTTTGGGTTCATTTTAGGGATGTCCCCATCCAGCTTTTTTAATTTCCCATCCGGGCCTATCGGAGTATGTCTATGAAATTTTCCATTTCTGGCTGTAGTGGGGGGGAGGCCCCCCGTTCCCTGGCGAGTGGAACACACACACTTATACAAACGCATACACACAAGCACGCACACACACACACACAGACAGAAACACACACACTTATACAAACAAACAAACAAACGCACAGACATATACAAACGCACAGACATATACAAACACAGACACACTCAAACACACACAAGCACGCGCACACACATATATACAAACGCACAGGAAGTCAGGCTGCCCCCCCCCCCACACACACACACACACATGCAAATGCACACACCCACAGAGGCACGGAAACACACACACACACGCACCCACAAAAAGACAGAAACACACACATATACAAACACACAGGAAGTCAGGCTGCAACACACACACACAATGAATAAGCACACACACTCACTCACACACACACACACATACACACACACACGTATATGCAAACGCGCACACACCCAAAGACACAAAAACGCACACACACACATACAGTAAATGAAGCACACACACACACACACTCTCACTCACACATGCACACACATATATGCAAACGTACACACCCACACAGAAACGGATAAACATACACACACACACACACACACACACACACACAGTTGGTCTGTTTGGGGTTTTGGTGGTCTGGGATGTGGTTTCTGGTCCTGACCGGCTCTGGTCCCTCAGGACCTGCAGGAGGTGGACGATGACTCGGACGGTGAGGACGGCGATGGCCACGACGAGTTGTAGGCGGGGCCAGAGGAGAGAAACGGGCGAGAGGAGACCAGTCCCACCCCGACCCCCCCGACCAGTCACCATCACCATCTTCACCCCCCCC